CTTTATTATGCACACTTTCTGCCCTGGGTGGCACCTGGAATTTGCTGAGTGCAAGTTAAATTTTAAAAGCCTCCTGAGCTTCACCTTTTTCATGCCATGGAAGTCAAATGGAAAACCAAATAATAAGAATAAGCAAGCTGCATGGGTCCTTTCTCTTGCTCTCAACTGACTCCAGACCATGTTGTGGAATTCCAGCACCTCCCCCCCTTCCAGCTGTTAAGTTTCCATGACCAGACTTAACCATCTCCTCTCAGATAATCAACAACTGACTTTGCATATTACCTAGGACATCATGGTACAAGAATTTTTAAAGGCAAAAAAAAAAAACCTCATAGCCGATGATTTGCCAAGACATCTTACTTATTTATGTCAGCTAATTAGAACTTGAAAAGTGACTTTAAAGGAATGAAGCTGATTTTCACATGCTTTATATCGATGCTTACTAATGCCAACCAAAGGCGCTTTGCCCAGACTGCTTTCCATTAGCTTGTGCACAGAATTGAAAGCAGGGGATGGAGTGAAGCAGAATTGGAGAACAACAAATGTAAATTCCAAGCACGTTGTTCTCTCTTCTCTCAGTGGCTGGTCCCAAAATGGGACCCTGTCCAAGATCCTCCAAACCCTGTTCAATCTTTCTAGGTGAGGTACTTAGTTATTGTTAGGTTTAGGGAACAAAATCAGATACCATATCTTCCCAATGACATGAATTTTTGGTAATAATCTCAACTTTTGGAGGCAGCAGCAGAGTGTAGTGGAAAAAGCCTCAGCATTGGACGCAGATGGGCCAAGGTTAAGTGCCAGCATTACCCTTTAGTTGCTGTGTACCTTTGGATACATTCCTGTGCTTCGATTTTCATCTGCAAAATGGGAAATGATTGCTAGGTTTAAATGAGATGGCAAATGCGGGGACCAAGCCCAATGCTAGGGCACACCATCAGTCAATTTAAGTTTCCCTTTCCTTTTTAAGTCAGATCTCAGATTATGAACACAAAGGAACTCCCCACGCAGAGTTGAGTCTGTCCATGGGTACTGTGTTCTACTAAGGGAGCTCTTGGTGGCCCTTTGTTGTGACTGTTGATTGCACACATCTGGAAACTATGACAACCGTTTTGCTTTGAGCTCATCTTGGCCCAAATGCAGCTGTATGTAAGGCAGCTTCTATCCTTCAGTTTTTCCCAACACATCATAGCTTGGCTTGAATTTAGGCAGAGGAGTGGGTGTCAAAGGAAATGCACAATGTCAGGGAGGAATTGAGGCTCAATTAACAATTACCCTGCCTTCTGTGGCCCCACTAGAGAACTGCCTCTGGAGCTTTTATGTGCATTAGCTATTGAAACTGCACAGGAGCCCTACTAGGAAGTGTTACATTATTCCTACTTTGCAGATGCTTGAACTGAGTCTGGGAGGTTGTAAAATGGTGGTAGTGGTAAGATCAGCATCAGAACTTCAGGGGGGATAATGACCAGGATCAGCCCAAAGCTGATCCCTATGAGGTGGAGGTCAGACATACCTCCACTCTTCAACTTTTTTACCAATTCTGACACCAGCTGTCCCTCCCACGGCACTCTCTCCTCTGCTGGGTTTGATAATCCATTGCAATGGCCACACAGAACTCACGGACCATACTAACAGTTATGTGGTTTATTAAGGAAGTAACAGGCTACATCTCAGGATCGGGATCCAGAAGCATGTAGGCAAAATCCCCCTTCTTCAGTGCAGGACAGCTCTCTCAGCTCCTCTTGGCTGTGCAGGCTTCTTCTCAGCCCCCTCAGGACAGGCTCCTCTCGGCCCTGTGAGGACAAGCCTCTACGCCTTCTGCCTCCCTGCTGTCAGCTCTTCCACAGGACCCCTTCCAGGCCTGTCACCAATTCTACTGCTGGGCACCTTCTTGGGCCTCTCGCTGTCTTCAGTGTTACAGCCCTTGAGGTTCCTTGCCTCCTCTCTCTTTGTTTCTTCTCTCATCTTTCTCCTTTCTGCTTCTTCCTGCTTCCTGTCTCTAAAACCTCTGCTGTGGTTGGCTGCTTATATACACAACTCCTCGTCAATTTCAAGGAACAGCCACTCCTAGCAGGGACAGACACTTCATTTGCATAGTAGGCAATAGTCACCTCATTTGTGTAGTCTATTGACCATTCCCTGCAAGGTGCATACCAATCATAGGGCAGGCTGCAGCCCAGCACCAGACAAAAAGTATCAAAACCAAGTTGTTTCCAGCTTATCCAGTGTTATGGATTGAATTGTGCTCCCAAAAATGTGTGTCAACTTGGCTGGTCCGTGATTGCCAGTATTATGTGATTGTCCACCATTTTGTCATCTGATGTGATTTTCCTGTGTATTGTAAATCTTACCTCTATGATGTTAATGAGGCAGGATTAGAGGCAGTTATGTTAATGAGGCAGGACTCAATCTATAAGATTAGGTTGTATCTTGAGTCAATCTCTTTTGAGATATAAAAGAGAGAAGTGAGCAGAGAGACAGAGGGACCTCCTACCACCAAGAAGGAACAGCTGGGAGTGAGCGTGTCCTTTGGACCCAGGGTCCCTGCACTGAGAAGCTCATCAACCAGGGAAAGATTGATGACAAGGACCTTCCCCCAGAGCTAACAGAGAGAGAAAGACTTCCCCTGGAGCTGGCACCCTGAATTTGGACTTTTAGCCTCCTAAACTATGAGAGAATTTCTCTTTGCTAAAGCCACCCACTTATGGTATTTCTGTTATAGCAGCACTAGATAACTATGACACCCAGGAAATATCAACCTGGATAAAAGTAACAAACCTTCTGGGGTGGAAAACTAGGGCAAAGGTAACTCCTCAGGGCTTAGGGGGAAAATCCCTCAAGATGTTTTTCCAAAGAACCAAGGCAAAAGGCCACATAAAGGAACTCAACTCACCACAGAGGTTAAGTGACTTTCCCAAGGTCAGAGTTAATAAGTCATGGACTTGAGATAACATCCCAGGCTTTTGGTTATAGGAGAAGGCAGGAGAGTTTGCATTGTTGAAGTATCAGCAGCAACAGTGTCTACCTGCCAAAGTCTACTTTGAGTTGATAGTGTCTGTGACAAGAGCTGGAAAGTGAGCGAGCGGAAGTCCCAGATGAGTTCCCTTGGCCTTTAGAAACCTGTGCCCAGGACCCTGCCCAGTAAGCCATATATCCTCAGGGGCAGGTAATGAGACACATTCAACATGCCATGTCTACCATACCTGATCACTAATTTAAAAAAAAAATTGAATTTGTAAAGCACTGCTAGCACTATTCAATCTTTTGAGTGTTTTTGTGTGTTTCTTGATTTTGATGGTTCAGAAGGTACTTTAGGACCAGTATTATATTGTCATTCATTTATTCAACAAACGTGTATTAATCCATCTATTGTGAGTCAAGCACTGCTCTAGATGCTGGGGATACAGCAGTGAATAAAAACTCCTAAAAGTGCCATCTGTTGTAACTGATCAAGTAGTGATAGAGATTTTTTTTCTTTCAAGTATACTTTTAAAGAAAATAGTTTGTTTTCCCTTTTTAACTATATAAAGAAGTATGGAGCAATTCTAAGTAACCCATTTGTGGGCTTACTTAGTTTTTTTTTTTTTTTTTCTTTCTTTTCACCTGAAAAGCTTCTATTTTTCTTTCGCCCCTTTGGTTTACAGGAGATCTTCTTTGTTCCCACGAGGCATTTTTGAGTCCCAGCATTCCCTGTAGTTATCTCCTTCCATGTCCACTGCCAAAGGAGGTTGTCAGAGTGTGGCTTCCAGTTCAGTCCTGATTGGATGGCAAACAGTGAGAGTAACATGCTGCTAGATAGATATCTGCCATGGAGTTGATGGCCACTCATGGCCACCCTGTGCACAACAAAACAAAATGTCGCCCAGTCCTGCATCATCCCCACAATCACCAGCATATCTGAGTCCACCATTGTAGTTACTATGCCAGTCTATCTCACTGAATGTCTCCCACACCCTCACTGGCCCTCTACTTTACCAAACACGATGTCCTCCTCCAGCGATGGATCCCTCCTGATAACATGTCCAAAGTTGGACAATGTCCTGTTGTGATCCAAGGTTTCCCTTGGCTAATTTTTGGAAGCAGATCACCATGCCTTTCTTCTTAGTCTGGAAGCTCCATTGAAACCTGTCCACCATGGGTGCCCATGCTGGTATTTGAAATACCAACGGCATAGCTTCCAGCATCACAGCAACTTGCAAGCCACTACAGTAGGGCCAAAGGACAGAAGGATGGTGGGATATGCTGAATATTCAAGAGGACCAGAATACAGTATACCCCCCCAATTAAAAAGTATAGTGAATAAAATTATAACTATTATTCAAGTGCAACTATTCTGAGTATTTAAAATTGAAATACTGAAAGTAAATCACACATTTGGAGTTTACATTTCACATTTGAGTACAAGCCAAATAAACTTCTGAAGTTTTATTACTGTTGAATGCAATGTCAGGCAACAAACTTCTACAAATTTTATACATAATCATTTCCATTTTATCTGTTTTTCTATTTATGTCAAGTTGACACTTAGTGTGTTCTTTAATATTTTGTCTACCTTCTATTTCCCCTCATCTAACCCAAGTGATCACACTCAGTCTCGATGATCCTAAATTTACCCTTAACCTCAGACTAAGAGGGTTTTTAAAATAAGTAAGGAAAAGGAGAGAGGAAGGACTTCCAAATAAACAGACAAAACTGGTTTCTATGGATGTTAACAAATGACCTGGGAAAAAAAGACAAGTACCAAAGAATTAATGGAAGACAACTTTCCAGCTCAGGTATCAACTTATGGGAACTAGGTAATAAACCAGTAAACTGTGGACACTAACAGTAAATAGGATCGCGCAGATGTGACAGGCTCAATGGGATGGGGCTCGCTGGGAGAGCGCAACGGAAGAACTGACCGTTGGTGAACCAAAGAGGAACGAGGCTGCGCCCGCGCACCGGATGGGGGCGCCCTAGCGCGCGCGGCGCTGGCGCCGTTCAGGTAACAGCTGCTGCAGAGGATGGCGTCCAGCTTTAAGAAGTCGCATGTGGCGTCTGCCAGCCAGAGAAGAAAGGTGGGTCCAAAGCCCGAACTCACTGAAGATCAGAAGCAAGAAGTTCGGGAAGCATTTGATCTCTTCGATGCCGATGGCAGTGGGACCATCGACGTGAAGGAGCTGAAGGTGGCCATGAGAGCGCTGGGCTTTGAGCCCAGGAAGGAGGAGATGAAGAAAATGATCTCCGACGTGGACAAGGAAGGCACAGGGAAAATCAGCTTCAATGATTTCTTGGCCGTGATGACACAGAAGATGGCTGAGAAAGACACCAAAGAAGAAATTCTGAAGGCTTTCAGGCTCTTTGATGATGATGAAACCGGGAAAATCTCCTTCAAAAACCTAAAGCGTGTGGCCAACGAATTGGGGGAAAACCTCACCGATGAGGAGCTGCAGGAAATGATTGACGAAGCTGATCGGGATGGAGACGGCGAAGTAAACGAGGAAGAGTTTCTTCGGATCATGAAGAAAACCAACCTTTATTAAAAGCAGTTTCTCCTACAAGCACCAAGTTTAGCGACATCTTGGATTCCCGCTTCTGTTTCGTGAAACCTTGGTTTAGAGGACTCGGGTATCTCTCCCCCTTCCCCGCTAATTTGTCTAGATAATTCTATTTCCAAATCCTTGGCTCCATTATAGAATTTTAAAGATGTTTTTAGTTTGAGTTTTTGTTTTTAATTCTCAAGAGCAGAGCTGGATTGCATTAGATTGGATAAAAGCCCTGAAGCTTCCATCCATCTGCCGTTTTGCCTTTCATTTGTGGACATTCATTAAAACAACACAATACAGCTTCTTGGAACAATCAGAAATGTGCTTCCCTTGTCATTTCTTTGGTGTTCACGAATTAACTTGCTTCATATATCATGCCTTAAATTCAAGTCATTGTTCCAGTAAGATGAAGCAGAATATACCAGCAGTCATCCTAGGCATTGCTTTTCACTAGCTTGAATTCTAATGTGAAGGAAGTTTGCACACTTATGTACTTACTGGGCTCAGGAAAGATAACTATTCTAAAGTATGGGCTTGGTAAATTGTGCAACTTAGACTACTCTCTGGCTTCATCACATGAAATGCTTTTTCATCATTTGTGTGTATGCTATCTACTGTGAGTTATGCAGGGCCAATGTGAATACCTGGGCTACAGATTAAAAACAAAATTTAACTCTGGCCCAAGCAAAATATAATTTGCTTGAGAGATTAACTAATGATTTTGAGTAAATATTTGCAAATGTAAGGACTTAGTAGTTTAGAAAATTGTTAAAAAAAAAAATCTATACTACATTTTAAGCTATTTGTCCTTATAAGATCAGCTAACAAAACCTTAGTCATTTTATTACTGCTTTATCACAAGTCACTATCTGTGAATTCTTAAAACTTCTTGGTACTTGATACTTGATTTTTCCCCTTTGTTATATAGTTGATACCAGAGTGTATAAGTAGTATACGTCTAAGTATACTACTTGGTATATAGCTGATAACAGAGTGTATAAGTAGTATACTTCTAAAGTATACTACTTGGTATATGGCTGATACCAGAGTGTATAAGTAGTATACTTCTAAAGTATAATACTTGGTATATGGTTGATACCAGAGTGTATAAGTAGTATACTTATAAGTATACATGTAAGTAATTCTGTATTTCATAAATCCCAGTAAACTAGTTTACAGTGGCTTGTGTGTGTGTTAATATTGTTTTCTATTATAAATTAAGCCTTTGTTCTTTTGGTAAAAGAAGATACTTATCTTTTTTTACATACAAATTTGGAGGTAGAAAAAATTAAATATTGTAGGAAGATAATATCTACTGAAGTGGAGAGTTTGACTAATGTTTTGATAATAGGCAACTTTTAAAAAGGCAAGATATTTTGGTCAAAAGTAAAGCTAAATTAAATCTTCATACGAAGTCACATTAAGATAATGCTCAAATTCTGGAAAATTTTTCACTTGCTTTGTCAGGAGTCTTACCCTCCAGGGGGTGGTAGATTTAATCAGGGGAACTACTATTCTGGACTTAATTCTCATTAACAGGGACTCATTTGTCAAAGCAGCAGTACTAGCTGAAGTGATTGGCATTCATTGTGAAGATTTTGCTGAGGTGGCTGGCACAGGGCAGGGGAACTCACCTGGGATTTAAATGCTAGATTCAAAACCTTAGTGTGGACTCAGGTGTGGTTATAGTGGATACAGGTGCAACCTGGGCCAGCATCAGCGTATAGGGCCTGATCTGAGGGCAAGGGAGGAGTGTGGCATTCTGGGAAGCAGGAGTTCCTGGCATCCTGTTGACCAGAGTCTTGACCCATATGGATCAAGGCAGAAATACCAAAAACAAAGAAGGTTGGCAGAAACTAGGAGAAGTCAGAGCCTCAGCCAACTGGACTGGGCTCAGCATTGGCTCCTAACCCAACAGAGGATGGAAGTGAAAATCACGAACCCGGGCAGAAGCCCAGCATTCAGAACGGCCACACACTTTGGGGTCAGTCAGGGAGGCTACAGCCCAGTACTTAAAGGGGTGTCCTGAGGGTACAATTCATCTCAATTAAGTAAAGGCAGCTCAGCCTTAGGGTCCGGGAGGGGGCTCTTGAGGAGAGGGCTTGATCAGGCCTAGGCTGACGTTTGGATTTTTAGAGAAGTCAGTCATACACTGGTGGGTCGGGCATGTTGTATTCTTGTCTTTAGAAAAGTAGAACACAAAAATTCACAGAAAATTTATAGGCACCTTTTGCAGATGAGGCAACAACAGCTCTAGAGTTTGGGAAGAACTAAAAATGTGATTTTCCCTCATCTATAAAATACGGTCCCAGGAGCATACCAAAAAAACCCATGTGACTGTTTAGGGACTCCATTGATAATCCTTTGCTTTCTAACTATATCTGAAACAGAAGAAAAGCAGAGCATAGGGCCAAGGATGAAAATATGACGGTATTGTCGTTAATATATTATCAAGAAAACTAAAGCTCGAAGTGAGCAGAGGACGATTAAAGGGGCTTTCTTTTCTGAAGGACAGCTTAAAACAAAACAAAACAAAACAGTTGCCATCAGGTTAATTCTGACTCATGGTGACCCTATGTGTGTCAGAACAGAACTGTGTTCCATAGACTTCTCCATGGTTGATTTTTTTTTTTTATTTCAGAAGTAGATTTCCAGGCCTTTATTCCAAGGTACCTCTGGGTGGACTCAGACCTCCAACCTTTTGTTAGCAGCTGAGCACTTCACGGTTTGCACCACACAGGACTCTAAGGATATCTTAGATATGTTTAAAATAAGATGTAGAAAGCAATAGGCCCAACTCTTGAGATTGTTGGAGGTCAGTTTCCATGGGAAGCAGACTGAGTCTGAGATATGTGTGTAGAAAGTTTGTTAAATGTGCTCTTGGATCACACCGGCAGAGGGAGGAAGTCAAGACTAGGCAGAGGGAGAAGGTGGGCTGTGATGCAGTCACAACAAGGCCTCAGCTGATTCCACAGGGAGCGCGGGAGCTGGGATGGTTCTGCAGACATGTCCAAAATTGGGTCAAGGAGGCTGGGACTTTAGAACCCCTCATTGATTGATAATCACTGGACATAAGCTGTCCCCAGGAAGGGGATATGACCTTGGATAAGAGGGCCCTCTTCAACCAAGGGCATTCACTGGGAGGGTGAACTCAGCTGCAAGCTACCAGCTGTCAATACTCTCAGCAGCTAGATGGATGAGTGCTTCCCTGAAGTGCAGGAGCTGGAGGGAGATGTGGATAATGAACCAAAGCTTCCATTACAGTCCACCCCTTGTACCACTTATATCCACTGGTTTTAAATAAGTTCTGGGAGAGTCTAATCCAGGATTCTGATAGACCTCTTTTCCTGAGGGAAACTTTTAAGAGGAAGGTTAGAGGCACAAACTACAGCACCTGCCACTGCAGCTAGTATCAAGACTACAAGTAGTACTCCTCATCAGCCTCAACAATCCAGTCTAGATTCCCCTTACCCTCAGCTAGCTTCTCCCCTGATGCAGGTGACTTAACTACCCAGATCCTCATTCCCAAGAGCTCTGAGCCCCTACTCAATTCCCTTCTCAGTCAGTGGTTGCTGCACTTACCCGTTTACCCTCCAAATTGGGGAAGGGGTACCAAGACACCTTCAGGTGTATTACCTGAGAAATTTTTCCTCCTCCATTGTGTAATAGCAGCTTCACCTACTGATGATCAGATCAATTACTTATGGATGGCGATTCCTTTCCTTGATGGTCTGCCAGCATGAGGAATCTGCCATGACTATATAGCATACATAGTTTGAAATGTACTGGGACTCTTGCTGTGTCCTCTGGTAGAAGTATTCTCCCTCTGGAAGCCAGGATCTCTAAATGCACAGAGTCAGATGTTGTGGGGATGGGAAGAATACATTAATGAATAGAACACTGGGAGTTGTGGTAAACACTGCTTCTACCCCTTGTTTGCTGGACCCATGTACCCCACCATATAATGGCCATCGATTTAGAGTATATGCTGCCTCCTCACTGGTTATCATTTCCAAGCTGGCCCCTCAGAGGCATCTTCAACAGGTGTTTCCATTGCTCTGTCAGGTTGAAATCTTCCAGATGTTATAGGAACAGTAGATTCCATGGTCATATACCCACTTCTGCACCTCCTTACCTGTAAAGTGGGTCCCTCGGTCAGATTTGATGTTATATGGAATCCTGTGTCAATAGAACAAATATTCAAATTTGATGCTGGCTGAAACTCTACAAGCAGAAACGGCAAACTCATAAGTGAAATATGTATCAAGTCCAGTCAACATAAGTCACTGTTTCTGTCCTGGACAGAGCTGGAGAAAAATGCTGGACAAAATTCTAACTCACAAAAAAAGACCAGAGTTATTGGTGTGACAGAGACTGGAGAAACCCTGAGAGTATGGCCACCGAACACCCTTTTAGCTCAGTAATAAGTCACTATGGAGGTTCACCCTTCAGCCAAAGATTAGACAGTCCCATAAAACAAAATGAGACTAATGGGGCACAACAGTCCAGGGACAAGGACTAGAAGGCAGGAGGAGACAGGAAAGCTGGTAATAGGGAACCCAAGGTTGAGAAGGGACAGTGTTGACATGTCGTGGGGTTGTTAACCATTGTCATAAAACAATATGTGTACTAACGGTTTAATAAGAAACTATTTGTTCTGTAAACCTTCATCTAAAGTACAATAAAAAAAAAAGAAAGAAATTTAAAAAAAAGATAAATCACTGTTTCTTCTAGAGTAGAAGGGGTCCACTGTAGCAACTTGCCACCAGGAGGCCAGCTGGTCTTCTTGAAGTGCAGTGCTGTTCTGCACTGGGCAGAAGCAGTGGCTAGAACATCCTTGCTGAATGGGGACCCATGCTGTTGGGTTCATGCACAGCCTCCATCCTTGCCACAATGACTACTCTATTCATTTGCCTGTTATGCCAGCACTGGGTGACTAATGACAGAGGCGTACGGATATCTCCTGGTCAAGTCATTCTGTCTGCTTCATGTTTAGT